TTAAGATGATATTTTATTTGACTTCTCGGCATGAATGACCCTGTTTAAAAGGCATAAATGTGAATAGCACATTCATGTTTCCGATTCATTAAATGCATGCCTAGTGCTTCTCGAGGCTACTTGGGGCACTACGATTGCAGGAGGAATTGGGCTGAAAATGTGGTATTCAGTTATGCACGTAGGGATTTGTTAGTTGCAAATGTCAGTCAGTCATCCGGGACCTCATACAAATGCACTATTATACTTCTGATGTGGGTAGATGCTGATAGTCGAGATACATTTACTAATAACGGACTATCTGGCTTTACAGCTTTGACTCTTGCTAGTCATTGTGTGTATTGCAGTTCAGCCTTCAGTCTGTTTTCTCAGCTTGCAAAACTGAAGTTTTGAAGTCACTCAAGTGGACAGCTTGTTTACCAGCTTTCTGAAAATAGCTCCTTTGTCAAGAACTTGATGGCTAGAGATATTTCTAAGGATACATTGTGCAGGTCCAGATACAACCTTCTAACCTGAAGAACTTGACTTAAAGGAGGCGGTGGGGGGAGGAAACAACTTGCCTTGGAAGCATATTCAGAGCTTGAACTGTTGCTTTGCTTCCGGTTACTACTTCATCCTAACAGGCTATATTGCAATTGGCAGTAAAAGGTTCTCTTGTCCTCACCTGGCCTCGTAGATTCTACTTTGAGGTTAATATTTACATGCAATTACTGTTCAGGCTGAATCATATACTTGCAATATTAAGGGAGAAAGAAGGAGCACAGGCCGTGAAAAGCACAAAGTATTAGACTGATGAGCAGGTGTTTAATTTGTCTGTCTGGCCTCCAGTATCCACCCTAACCTCTTCTCAGACAAGCTTTCATCAACATTGAGGCAATTATCTTTGTCTGCTGAGAGGAAAAAGCCTGTCTGTTGGGTGAGGATTATTGTCCAGTCTTTGAATCCCATGGCGAACTACAGCCATAATGAATATTCTCAATCCTCTGCTCATAGGACAAAAATATTGAAGGTAGCTACCATGTTGCCACCTCTTGCTAAAATAAGGGATGATTGTGAAAGCATCTCTTAAGAGAAGCTAAACGTTGCTCAACAAAATTGTTTGGCATGTGCTTTAAGGCTTGCTAAGAAACAGGTATTTCAAGGATGACTTGTCACTACCTACAGCTCTCTTTGTAGGGATTTTAGAGAAGACACCAAAAGCACAGTATGCCCAAAGTCGTAAGACTGACTTTCGCAGGGTAGATGTGTGAAAGTTAAGTACAATGCTTAAATGGTGAGTTGCCAGACTTGAGACAGTAAGTAACAGCTCATACTTCAAGACCTATGTGTTGAGGACCTGAAATGGCCTTTCCCTAAGGAGCGATCAGTACTTGCTATTCAGAGGTTAGTAATAGGAGGAATATACTATTAGTGGTCTCTTAACAAGCCCTTTCCGGAGTAAAGCAAAAAGTGAGTGAGCAAAATGTGGTGCATATCTACTGATACAGGCAAGAGTTTGGGGCACTTCTCCCAGGGGAGCAACATCCATAAATCTACAGTCTAAGACTTTTGAAATAGTGCATTTAGCATAGTAGTTAAAATGGTCCGTACAATTACACAGCAAGTAATTAAGCTGTGGTGACACGAACAAGCTTATCTACGTAGAGAAGATTCACTTAACAGTCTGCTGACATAGTCGCTGTGGGAATGATCTTCTTCACTATGCAATACAACTGAAGGCATGACTGTCCTTGCATAAAAGCACATGCATCTCTAACCCTGCCATGTTGCTGGCTGTGTCCTTTCAGATGAACTAAGAATTCAAGTGTAATAGAACAGTTGTAGCCTCTTGTTGCCTCACTTCTGCAGTTTGAGTAAAGAAATATGAAGGGACTGATTTACTGCAAAAGGAAGCCTCCAAGCAAGAGCAAGAACTACAAACAGAAGATTTTAACTTCATTTTAATTACTTGCATGTAGAGCACACCAGCACTTTCCATTCAGATAAGTCAAACTTAAGTGTGACAAAGACCTTGCACAGCTTTAACTTGGGTCTAAAGCATAGAATCCAAATTTAATTGTGGCTGGGACTCTCGTACCCCAAGCAGACTAGGTTACTGTTAGCTCAAGCTACATTATGTTGCCCTTTACCCCAGTGAAATTTCAAGGTGAAACTTGAGGCAATTTTGTGCTAGCCTTGTGGCTTAACTAAGGTGTCAAGAAGGTAGTTATTTAAAATATGAATGTATATTAAGGCAGCCTTCGTCTATCTTTGCATTCTTAGTTTTGCTAGTTCTCTTACTCCAAAGATATGATTCTCAAAAATATTGAGTTCTCCAAAGGTATGATAAATAACCGTCATGTACTGTAAACTCTCACCAGGTGAGATAAGCTGTGCCAGACCTCAAATAGGAGAGTATGTCCTGTAAAGAGGCCAGAAAGCCCTCTCTAACCTTCTCAAATTGCATTGCTAACACTGAGAATGAGCATCTCCACAGTAAGACAGGGTATTTGCAAGAGTTTGGTCAGGCTTGTGTGTATTCCTTACCCATCTTCCTCCGCCTTGGAGTTTTGTGCTGTCTGGTTCTACGCAAATAAGTGATCCAGCCTCCATAGATGGAGGTGGATGGAGGGATGACTAGAGTTTAAAGATGGCAACTGCCCATCTGGGTTTCTGCCACTTTACAGTTGCCAGAGTGAGGTCTTGCTTGTGCATATTTGCTCCTCCCTAGGTTATCCACTTGTTATTGCCTCCTAACTTCAGAGCAAGATACTTGCTATGGTTGTATAACACCAGAGCTGAGTGTAGCTTTACCAATTAAATTGGGGAAGCAAGATCACTGACAGGCAGGACTCAGCATGTCAAGGTTCTATTTCTTCTTTCCAGTATGGAGCTGGGCAGAATGTCCTAAAGCTATGACTCAGCTCCTAAAGAGCATGTCTTTGTTCTGTTCTTCTCCAGGCCTTTTCCTTCTGCTCTCTAAACAGTAACCTTCCAGATAGGGTGAATGGTTAACTAAGGATGCAACCTTAACTCTGTAGATTTACCGTGTCCTTCAGAAATACAGGAAGAACAGACAAAGATGCTCAATATGCTGAAGTCTAAAGACTATCTCTGCCCAAGGCTGTACCATCGGGCAGGCCAGTCTAGTTTCAGAGCAGAATTCAGTTAGCTTCATTTTACCTGCTTAATGTGGCATTTTCAATAGGCACACTCCTTTTCAGCACTGGTGTAAGTATCGTGCAAAATCCCTGTTGGCTGTAATAGTTTCCCCCTTGCTCCTGTGTCAGAAAAGGCACACAAGCTACTCTTTCAGTGATATTTCCTAAATAAAGATGGCTTGCTATGTCAACTCTCCCTTTATATCCACTCTCCCTATCTATTTCTACTTGGAACCACTTGAAATTTTCACAGCAACATCTTTGTTCCCTTGCATCAAGTGTTCCCTAGCTGCAGCTGGATAAGTTGCTTACAGAGGAGAACAGGTGTGTTGCTGCCAGAGATCTTTTCCATATGAGCAGTCTTTTATCTCTGTTGATTTACTTGGGCAATGCTAAATGTCAAGGCGAAGTTCTCTCTTGAAGACCTAGGAATTTGTGTTCTTCCTAGGTTAAGAATCAGTTAAGCATTGACATCCATTACTCTGTTAGTGGTAAGCTGGATGAGTCAGTCTAGCTATTGACTTGTTAATGAATTGTGGGAGAGAAGAAGGCAGAAGTGTCAGCAAAACCCTGCAAGTAACTTCCAAGGAATCGATAAAGCATTAGCTGTAACTAAGGCAAATGTGGACTAGGCTATTGAGAATTACAAGTTTCTAATGCTAGAGGATATGCAATACTTCAGCACTTGTACCTGCTGGGTACGCAGTATGTCTCAAATAGTGTGCTGGATAGAAGAGGAGGCTTGGTCTATGGCTGCTTGCCTTGAATATAGGGGAAATTACTAGTAGAGGGTAGCCCAGCTACTTAGTAATCTAAACAGTCCCTTGGCTTCATTCATCACCCTAAAATTCAAGTGACTAATTGAAGCCACTGCAATACCTCAGACAGAAGATTCATAGAACAGGTTCTGAGGCAGATGTGAAATATGAATGTCCAGTTCATTGTGGCTGGGTATAGATGATCTTCAGAACTCCATAAAGACAATATGAGTCTCTCTATTTGGTTAGTGTGAAAAAACGCTTCAGCTGTGTAGGAACAGAACATGGTGACTGCAGATTTTTTTTTGCTTGTATCCCAGAGCCAAAAGGGTCTCATGGCCTAGAGTTGAGAGTTAAATCATACTAGTCCATAGTTTCTGTTGACTTGCAGGGTTTGTTTTGTTTTTTTTAAATGAGATTACTTGATTACTGCTAAGACAAGGTTGTGGGGTTTTGGTTTTGGGTTTTGTTTTGTTGTAGTTTTTTTCCTGGAACAGTCTGTCTGCAGCCTAAGGAATTTATTTGCTTTTATGTGTTGGGTGGTATAACTTCAGACTTCCACTAGTTACAGAAACATGAATAGGATCTAGTAGCTTCTTTTAGGTGTTCTGGTGTCATCTTCATGGCTGTTGGAACAGATCCTAGCAAATGGTTCTTGCATTCTCACCTGTCCTAGTACAGAGATGCAGCTGGCAGTGCTGAAGGAGAATAGAGCAAAATACCTGAGGTTGTACAAATAGCTTTAAAGGGTAAAAAAGCTAAAGGCTGAGTGATTAAGAATGATGCAAGTACAGCCTGTGGATGTTGGTCAGTGTGATCTACTGGTTAGGTGTTACTAAGGTGAGAGTTCATCACCTAGTGGCCATAACTTCATGCTCTCTGTAGCCTGAAATGAACAGACTATATAGTCAGAAATATAGTCAGATTTCCTATATGATCACAACTAAAACTTTCAGGCATTAGTGGGCTTCAGTGTGCAGTGGAACAAAACTAGACTAACAGGTCTGATAAGAATATTTATTGTTCAAGGTAAAGTAAGTCTACCTACTGGTTGTTATTTGTATTTTTACAAATTACAGCAAGCGTAGCTGACCACCATCTCATCATGTCTGCTGAAGCTGAAACTACCACTATAGACAGCCAGCCTGAGCAACAGGCTCCACCAAAAGCACAGGCTTCAAAGAAGGAAAAAAAGAAAGGTAAGAAATGCTTACCTCTTGAACACCTCCTCTAGTCAGTGTCCGTAATCTTTTGCACTTTTCTAAAACTAAGATCACTCGCACAGCATAGTTAAAATAACTCCAAGGTTTCAAGCTGACTGGAAAAGTGAGTAAATAAGCTAGTAAAATAAATGTAACCAGAAGGTAGACTTTTAGCTTGAAAGGATTATTTCTAGCTTTAAGTTCTAAAGCTCTCAGTACCACTTGTTAAATGACTCATTTGCTGAGCCTGACAAGTCACTAAAAGCCCAGAGAAGTGAAAGCCTCCTGAGAAGATGACCAGACCCAGGACCATCCAGGTAGCTGTCAGTCTGAACCTGAACTTGATTCCTTCTCTCCCTCCAGAAAAGGAGTGATGTGCTGGACACAGATAGATCCTAGTCCAGAGAAGCTAGAAAACTCGTTTCATGAGAATTATTGCAGATCAGGTAATAGATTTTTTTATAGATTAGGTCATGTAAATATAATTACTTCATACAGAAATACGTACCTAGGTACACAGTCAGAGTATGTTGAGTGAGCAGAGAAGAACACCAAGCAGTTCTAAGAAGTAGTTAGAGCAGCAGAAATGGCAACTATAGCTAAAATCCCACATGATTACAAGGATGAAGATACCAGGACTTGCAGAAATGATGGTGCTGATAGAAAGGTTTAGCACAGGGACAAGGTGATTCTTGCACACCAAGAGCACATCTGAAAGGCTTACTGAACATCTTGCACATTCATGAGAAGTACCATTTCTGCTTGGTGTTTTTGCTTAGCATTTATATCTACTTAGCTGTTGCCTCTAAATATTTCAGTCTTTTATGTGGCAAACAATTGTTCTGATGTCCCCAAATATTAAGCACCAGGCTCCAGTCTTTGAGCTGAGGACAGATTCTGCAAAAGCACTGGGGCCTTAAAGGATTAACTATCTTACAGTGCACACAGTACTGGAAGGACTAAGGTTTGTTAGTCAGCTATAGTCACAGTTTTATTATGGACTTATATGGTATGTTTTTTTAAAAGATCTCAAAGCCACAACATAGACATTTCTCTTTTTAAAAAAAAAAAAAAAAAAGAACACACACACACACACACAAAACTCCACCACTTTTCTTTGTCTCCAGGGCCAGAAAAGACAGATGAATCCCTCTTGGCCAGATTCAAAGGCGATGGTGTAAGATACAAAGCTAAACTGATTGGCATTGATGATGTCCCAGAGGCAAGAGGAGACAAAATGAGTCAAGATTCAATGATGAAGCTGAAGGTAAGGGCTTGAGCTGGTGTATAAGGAACAACTTCTGGGTAGCCTTCGGGATGCAGATCAAATGATCATTTTGGCACAACTTCAAGTACGGCTGAATGATAACATAGTAGTAACAGCATCATCCTTGGTGGGTGTTCCTTCTAAAGCTGTAATCCCTTGCACAAAGGACAGTGTTTCTCTAATAGCTTGAGAAAGCTGGTTTGGGTCTGGTGTAGGTGTCCGGTATGGGTACTAGTAGTATGAACTTTATCACAAATAGTGAGCTTGGGTTTTGAATGGGAAAGAAGAAACTGCACAATTTAACACTGAACTCAAAGCACAATTTGGCATGCTGTGGCAATAGTGACATAAAGATATAGATAAACCAAAGAATAAATGAGACCCTGCAGCAACAAAGACGATTACTGTGAGTGTTCTGCATTCCAGAATAGCTTTAGTCAGGCCAGGAAAGCTGGCAAAGATGCTACTACTCCAGCAGTTTTGTGAACTGAGACAAGTTTTAAAGCTCAAACATTTACAGAGGAAACACAATCTAGTTCTGAGATATCACATCAAACCCAATCGGGCGTATATTGCAAGAGGAATGCTCCTCTAACTGTACAGTTGCATAGGAATAGCGAGACTAGCACAAGTACAGTCACAGCTGTAGGCTCATAGGGAGTGTAAGGAAACAAGTTAAGGCTCAATCTAACAGGAATCTCATCAATACTTTGATATCCATCCTCTTTAGGGCATGGCAGTGGCAGCCCGTTCTCAGGGTCAACACAAACAGAAGATCTGGGTGAACATCTCCCTCTCTGGTATCAAGATAATAGATGAGAAAACTGGGGTAAGATATAACTTAATGTGATTCTTAAAGCAAGTGAGGTGCTTGGGAGTTAGACCAATCTGAACTAGATTCCTTAATGGCATCATGCCTGCCTTCCATATATAAAAATCGGTTTGTGAAATGACTTGTAATGCTGAAGCATCTTGTCAGAAAGATAGCTGCATCCCATTGTGGTTAGTCAAAGGCTGATAAATCTGAGTCTTGAACTGAATGAAGCCTTCTGATACTAGCTATGGAGAAGCTATTATGTCTCCAGCAATTTAAACCAATGGTTATTTTTTTTCCCAATTCCAGGTCATAGAGCATGAGCATCCAGTGAACAAAATCTCCTTTATTGCTCGAGATGTAACAGACAATCGTGCCTTTGGCTATATTTGTGGAGGAGAAGGCCAACACCAATTTTTTGCCATAAAAACAGCACAGCAGGTACCAATCAAACACCCTTTTCCACTTGCTATGAGTAACACTATTGTGTAAATACTTAACACGTGATAGTGTTTTGCTGGTAGCCCTACGAGTTACAGGGGAATACCAGCACAGATGGATAGGCTCTTCTCCTACAGGAGGGCCATAGGAAATGACTGTATCACCAATGGCTTTTATTTTGTTCAGCTTCTCTGTAGTCCAGAATAAAACCACTCAAGTAGCCTTGTGTGGTGGGTTAGGCTGCTCCGGCAACTATACCCTACACAGTCTCCTCTCACACCTCAGGGATGAGGGAGAGAATCAAAGAGGAAAAAGAAAAGAGATCCTTGGGTTGAGATAACAACAATTTACTACTACCGCTACCAATATATATATATATACACAGATATGTACAAGGATAAACATATGCAAACGAGTGATGTACAGTGCAATTGCTCACCACCCCTTGACCAAGGCCCATCTCGTTACGAAGCTGCAATCCCGAAACAGATAAAACTCGATACCGCGATCCCAGACGAACGGAAAGCCCCGAGACAGAGAGCGAGAGACAGAGAAAACACTCTGAGTACCCGAAAGTGAGAGTCCCAGAAGGGCAAAAGCCCTTCTTTCCGGCTGACCCTCACTTTTATACTGGGCATGACGCTGCATGATATGGAATACTAATTGGCCAATTTGGCCCTCAATCTTAAGTTTAGGTACAAATCGTAAGGAGAGTTCTGGACCCCCTTGTCCCGGCTATACTCCTGCCTTATCCTGTTGTGCTCCTGCACACTGGCAAGAACACGGCAGGCTGAAAAGTCCTTGAGACCTCAGTGCCAACTCTAAACATCAGTGTGCTATCAGCATTCTTCTCAGAGCGAGCCTCTGAGTAAAACCAAAACACGGAGCTCTTCTAGCTGCTAAAAAGAAGAGCTAACTCTGTCCCAGCTAAAACCAGGACACCTTGCTTACTATGATTAGCTCTATGATAATAGAGCTATTATCATGAGCTTTCCTATGCAGTCGCCTGTTAGTGTCAGTGACAATGCTAATTCTTGAGTCAAACAGCCAGAGCTTCCTTCAAAATTAACAGGAATCATGTTAGAATTCCACTAGTCTAGTTCTCATGATGCTTTGTCTTGTGTAGAATTGAAAACAGATTTACTCTGTTGCAGTAGTGTCTCTGGGGCTGGTGAGTGGCAGCCTGGTCTTCCTAGAGTTACTCCTGGGATGAATTCTGACCCTTCTGTGATAAGTTTCCCCCATGCAGAAATCCTGTATGCAGGGTTTGTCTCTCTGAAGAGAATCTGTACATAAGTAGTATTGGAAACAAGCTACTTGGAATTACTGCTAAGTATTATGCAGTTTCCTAAATGACCTGAAGTTAGATATTTATAATTTATTAGCTTGCTGTTGTAATGTTTTTATAATAGTCACTGTAATGACTTGATGAGCCAAGACTTCAAAGCTACTAATTTCTTCATATACATACCTGCATGGCCTCCTGAAGAACCTGTTGGCAGCTTTAGACCCACTACAGGGGGCAGTGAGGGGTTCCTTGTTGGAGCACGTTACTACTTTAGTAAGTAACAGCTGTAATGTCCTCTCCTAAGCCAGTTTTATTAGTTTAGCAGAGTCCTGTGTGGTATTGGCTTTGCTGGAATTGTAGGTTAAATACAAAAGCCTTCTGTGTGTGCTCTGGAGTGGAGTATGTTCTCTCAGAGCTTTTCACTATGGGGTGCTGCTTGCCAGCCTGTAAGCTTAGCCAAGCCGTAGACAGCTCTTGACTTGCTGCTAGTTTTTAACACAAACTTGTCTAGCTGAGAAGTAAGGACTTCTGCAGCTCTGGAGTGCCGCAGCTGTACTGTTTGTCAAAGTTGATAACTCTTGAAATGGCCTTTCCTGCAGTTGCATGTCTAAACCACTTGATAAGGAGAGGGTGATGCTTAGGTGTAAACGTGAGATCTGTTCAAGAGATTGTCTGCTTGAGCCAAAGGTAGTGGCTCAACAGGGGGGCTTGTCCTACTCTAGACACTGACACAGGTGCTATATGTCTCAAGCAAAAGTTCTCAATCAGTATAGTTGAACCTGCCACCATCTTAGCAACTGCTCAAAACTTAGTCATTAATCATAGAATCATAGAATGGCATAGGCTGGAAGGGACCTTAGAGATCATCTAATCCAACCTCCCTGTCATGGGCAGGGACACCTCTCAACTAGATGAGGCTACTCAAGGCTCTGTCCAACTTAGCCTTGAACACCTCCAGGGAGGGGACATCCACTTCTCTGGGAAATTTATTCCAAAGTATTACCACCCTCGTACCCTAAGATCTAATCTAAATCTAAATAAGTTGAAAGTTCTCCTTCAACTTAAACCCATTTCCCCTTGTCCTATCAGTGCACACTCTTGTAAAAAGTCCCTCCCCAGCCTTCCTGTAGGTTCCCTTCAGGTATTGGAAGGCAGCTATTAGGTACCCCAGAAGTCTTCTCTTTTCAAGGCTGAACAATCCCAGCTCCCGCAACCTGTCCTCGTAGCAGAGGTGCTCCAGCCCCTGGATCATCTTTGTGGCCCTCCTCTGAACACGCTCCAACAGATCTATGTCTCTCTTATGGTGGAGACACCAGAACTGGACACAGTATTCAAGATGGGCTCTCACAAGAGCAGAGTAAAGGGGAAGAATCACCTCTCTTGACCTGCTGACCACGCTTCTCTTGATACATCCCAGAACGCGGTTGGCCTTCTGGGCTGCAGGAGTGCACTGCTGGCTCATGTTGAGCTTCTCATCTATAAACACCCTCAAATCCTTCTCTTCAGGACTACTCTCAACCCACTCTGTGCCCAGTTTGTATTTGTGCCTAGGATTGGCCCAACCCAGGTGAAAGACCTTGCATTTTGACTTGTTGAAGCTCATGCAGTTAGCACTGCCCATTTCTCAAGCCTATCAAGGTCCCTCTGGATGGCATCTCTTCCCTCAAGTGAGTCCACGGCACCACACAGCTTGGTGTCATCGGCAAACTTACTGAGGGTGCACTCAATGCCGTCATCCATGTCGCTGACAAAGATGTTGAACAGCACTGGACCCAGAACAGACCCCTGAGGGACACCGCTTGACACTGGTCTCCATGTAGAGAGAGACCTACCACTTGGTATGAAGGGAATGCAATGCCTTTCTAATTCACACTAAATTTGCATCCTGATACAGATACTGTTGAAAGCTGGTGTCTGCTCTACATGTTTGAGGTGACGATAATCTTACTTTGCTGATTTACTATTTATGTCCTGTTTAAAGTAAATGTAGTATTAGCTATAAAATTTTTTCCCAGGTTCAGTGTTGGAGTTGGTAGGAAACAGATGCAAAATGTTTTTTCTCTCATGAGATTACCAGAGAGCTTGGATAAACTTTGCACTTTTGAGGAAATATGATTAGGACTTGCCATGCACTAACAAAATTTTGCACTACAAGATTTTTTAGCAAAAACATAGCAGGCTTAGTACAAATACAGCCATTCTACCTGTGGAATTAACAGCTCTAATCTGGTTGCGCCCCATTACCCTTAGATTCTACATAAGCTCTCTTGTATGGAGACTAGACAGTTCTTTAAACTCTTGCTTTTCCTGTTATCTCAGCCTTACTATTGCACTGTTTAGGAAAGTTTGGCTTGCTGCTCCCTGGACTTCTACTGAAGCAAGCTGTGAAGTAGTACATAGCCTAAAATCTGCGTTCTTTTTCAGGCTGAGCCTCTAGTTGTTGATCTTAAGGACCTCTTCCAACTGATATATAACATGAAGAAGAAAGAGGACGACAACAAGAAAAAGGCAAGTGAAATCATAGAAACTGCATTTGTCTGCTTAGAAATAAAGCTTGCTTTGGCTTTTGCTAGGCTTTTGGGCACTTATAAGACTTGACACTGAGGTCTGTCTAAATCCAGGATCACTTGAAGCTGTTGGTTTGTAGTTTTACCAGCAGTTTGATTACCTCCTAAATCTGGTAAGCTCTCCAAAACGAGACACTTTACATACTTGAAGGTACTAAAAGCCTTACTTTCTTTAGAGTGAAGAAGCAAGTAAGGCTGAGGTAAGTCACTCCAACTCAGCCTCACTTGATTAGGTATGCTGCTGCAACATAACTAGCTTTGACTTTCTTTACACTGCCAGCATTACGGAGGCAATGTCAGATGCCAAATTACGTGGAAATGGCATAAAAGGGGCCTACTGAACTAATACTGAGTAGTGATCTCCCTCATAATTCCTCTTTCCAACACTTGCTCTTTGAAGCCTGCAAGTCTCTTGCTTAAGGCAAGTTTTGATAATCCAATTACTGTTGACTTTGTTTTCCATCTGTTACAGGATGATAGCGAAGCTCTACCTGCTGATCAAGCTGACAAAATAAAACTGGTAGGTTAAATTTTAGAACTTTATGCTGATGCCATTAAGGAGTTGTCCTTGTTTTGGCTGGAACAGAGTTTCTCCTTTTAGCGGCTAGAAGAGCTTTGTGTTTTGGTTTTAGTCTGGGTCTTGTAATGAGAAGAACGTTGACAGCGCACTGATGTTTATAGTTGGCACTGAGACCTCAAGGACTTTTCAACTTCTCGTGTTTTGCGGGTGTGCAGGTGAATGGCAGGCCAGGTGGGAGCATAGCTGGGATGAAGCGTCCACAACTCTGCTTATGATTTGAACTTAGACCTAGGATTGAGGGCTAGATTGGCCGATGGAGCATTCTGTATCATGCAGCGTCATGCCCAGTATAAAGATGAGAGTTGAGCAGCAAGAAGGGCTTTTGCTCTTCTGGGAGCTCTCACTCTCAGAGTGGTATCTCTCTTTTTTCCTTTTGGGCCTCTCACTTGTCCTGGGTTGTGGTGTTGGGACTTACCTGTTTTGAGATCATTAGCCAGGTGGGACAGGTGTTGGTCACTGGGTGGTGAGCAATTACTGTGCATCATTTGCTTGTATGTATTATTATAATAATAATATATGAATATATATATATTAAGTTGTTCATATCTCAGCTCCCGAGTCTCCTTGCACTTTTCCCTTTGATTCTCTTCCCCATCTCCTGAGGGTGGGGAGGGATGAGCAAGTGGCTGTGTGGCATTTAGTTGCCGGATGGGCTAAACCACAACAGGAGTTCATAACTGACTGTCTCCACATTCAGTGGGAAACGCAGATTTTTATAGATGTGTTTACAGCAGGTCTGCATAATTCCTGATTCTTGCTCTTACAAGAACTCTAACAGATACAAATTCTTTCAATATTTCTGGCTTCAAGGGAGTTGACCAGATGGACTTGTTTGGGGATATGTCAACACCTCCTGATATGAGCAGTCCCACAGTAAGTAGAATCTAGCTTATCTGTCTTGGTTCTTGCTTTGAGAGCAAACTTAGTCCTAGTAACAAGATCTGTTTTTACCTTGCTAGCCCTGGTTTCACTGAGACATCTGTCTAGCTGTCATCAGTGTACTAGTGTTTTAGGGCTATAATAGTATCTAGTTACTAACTAGAGCAGCTAATGTCATTCCTATCCAGCAGAGCTCACTTGAGACCATGTGATAGAGGTAATCCTGTATTGTTAGTCATAGAATCATAGAATGGTTTGGGTTAGAAGAGACCTTAAAGATCACCTAGTTCCAACCCCTCTGCCATGGGCAGGAACACCTTCCACTAGGTAAGGCTGCTCAAAGCCCCATCAAACCTGGCCTTGAGCACTTCCAGGGGAGAGCATCCACAGCTTCTCTGTCTCACCACCCTCACAGTAATTAATTTCTTCGTAATATCTAATCTAGTTCTACCATCTCTCAGTTTAAAGCCATTGCCCTTTGTCTTATCACTATATACCCTTGTAAAAAGTCCTTCTCCAGCTTTCCTGTAGGCCCCTTTAGGAACTGTAAGGCTGCTAGAAGGTCTCCCTGGAGCCTTCTTTTCTATTCTCTTTATGCTAAACAACACCAGCTCCCTCAGCCTGTCCTTACAGGGCAGGTGCTCCTCTAATAATCTTCATTGCCCTCCTGTGGAGCTACTCAAGCAGGTTCGTGTCTGTCTTATGCTGAGGGCCCTAGAGCTGAATGCAGTACTGCAGTGGGGTCTCACAGGAGCAGAGTAGGAGAGAATCACCTCCTTTTACCTGCTGGCCACACTTATATTGATGCAGCCCAGGATATGTTTGGATTTCTGGGCTGCACGTGCACATTGCCAGTTCATACTCAGTTTTCCATCCACCAATACCCACAAGTGCTTGTCCACAGGGCTGCTCTTAATCCACTCATCACCCAGCCTGTGTCTGTGTTGGGAATTGCTCCGACCCAGGTGCAAGACCTTGCACTTGATCTTGTTGAACTTCATGAGGTTCACATGGGCCCACCTCTCTAGTCAGATGTCTTAGAAATACGCACTAGCAGTATTTGCCTCTCTGGCTATGAGGGCTATTACAGAAACTCTGCTAAAGACCTTCAAAGCTGAAGCTGATTTTATGGACAAGTGAATCATTCAGTCCCTCAGATTAGAGTCCTGACCACTCTAGATGAGTAGGCCTAGCTCAGGATGTGGTGTAACTCCACAAAAGTGTGCATGAACCTTGTCATAGCTCAGTGTGTGTCTCCAAAAATCCTACCAGTTTATTCTGGCACTGTAAGCCATACAGTCCAGCTACTGACCAAGTTTTACCCTTCTACTACCTGCTTGGTGAAGAGGTGGCATGTTAACATCTTCCACTGGCAAATAGCTCTCTACTCTTACTCTGAAGCTGAGACTGCAACTTGAAGTCACACTAGGGCAGTGTGATTTCACAACTTGTCAAAACAAAGGACTAGAACTCAAACAGGAATTCTTGACTCAAGTGAAAGCTTAAGTGTAATTATTGCTTAATAATTCTACAGCCTCTAGGCTGCTGAGCAAGCATCTGATATTTAACTAAGGGATCTTAAAACAGTTGCCTTTAACATTCAGTTTCTGAAACTAAGTAGCTGTGATTTGACAAGTCAGCAGTGCTTGCCTTTTTGACAGAATTCTAAGATGAAGGTTTAGTGCAACTTCACTGTGACATTGAATACTTTTTAGTATAATGTATTGGATACTAGAATCCCTCCTTTTGCAGCTGTTTTCCTTGAGCTTGTGTACTATGCAGCAAGTCCTACCTAAAAGTAACTTTATTTTTCTTTCTGAACAAACAGGAAGCTAAAGAGATTCTGTTAGTGGATTTAAATTCCGAAATTGAGACCAAACAGACTTTTACAAAAGAGGATCTCTTCTTGAATGGCATCACAACCTCTCTTCCACAACCAAAGCCACAGCCACTCTTGCCTGAGAATTCTTTCTCTACCAATCTCAGCTTCTTTCCCACACCTAATCCAGACCCTTTCAGTGATGATCCTTTCACACAGCCAGACCAATCTGCACTGCCTTCATCTGTTTCTCTAAAATCTGCTGATCAGAAGAAGGAAGGTCTGAATACCTTGACACCAGTGGGTAATGGTGCTTCAAATGGTGATATTGAGTACTTTGGTAAACAGTTTGACCAGATTTCTAATAGAACTGGCAAACAAGAAGCACTTACAAGCCAGTGGCCACTTGAGAGTAATCTACCTGCAGCAAGAATCCCAAATGGGGTACCAGAGAGAGAACAGGATGGCTTTCTTAAAGCCATCTCAAACCTGTTTGTGGAAAGTCCTTCCAAAGGAGTATCTCTGCAGAATGGAGTAAAGCTGGATTCTGAAAGCAATATCCAGCTCGTGTCACATGAGTCTATAACAATTAGCCCACCGCCACAAAGTACCAAGCCAGGAAGAGGAAGGAGGTCTGTCAAGGTGAACAATGTTCTAGCAATTAATTGTAATGTGCATGCTGTTAGAGAAGCTGGGTGAAGGAAGCTTTTCTTTCTTCATACTGTGTAACTGGCTAAACAGCTTCAATGCATCTACTTCTCGCTGCCATGCATATCCTAAACTCTCTGCAGCCATGGTACATTCTAACATTCATGAATGCTATGTAGTAGCTACAGTCACTAAATCTCATACTCTCTTCCTTAATGCTGCCATACTTCTGTAAAGGTCTGGTAAGTATGCTGCTATGTATATTGACACTTGATATAATGCCAGAACGTGTTATGATAGCTGTATGCCCATCTATCTGTCTGTGGTTTCCTAACAATGAGGTACTAATACTAGCTTACAGAAACCTTTGTAGTTTCTCAGTACCTGCCTACTGAGGGCAACCTCAATGACTTGCCTGATTAGACACGGCGTAGCTCTGGGTCAGCTGCATTTGCCTTGCACTAAAATGATGCAAAACTCTGTTGCTGACCTTGCCACAACTACAGGGGTCATGGCAGACTGAGCAAGAATGTTTAGAGGTGTGGGGGGTGGAGGGAAGCTCATTATGATAGCAAATAGTTTGGTTACTTTAAGTCTTATTTTTCTACTGTTGACTTGTGACTACAAGTATTACACCTACTTAATGCCATGTATCTCAGTAGGCATGGACAAAATGGTGAAACTTGAAACTCTTAGTCTCTAAAGGATACATCAAAGCTCTCTGCTCTGCTCTAGCTCATACAAAAACTTGTAGCTCTGGACTAGGGGATCTTGATTATGCTAGTGTGTGTTCTGCCATGCCATCTCACAAAGCTTTTTTTTCTTTCTAGACTGCATCAGATGACGTATTTAGCTCAGACTTTTTTGGGCCAGCTACAGAAAGCCTTAGCGTGACCTCAGTGGCACAAACAGGACCTGTGCAAACTTGTCCACTGAACCTCTTCAGTGAAAGTTGTACCATAACACCTCCATTGGTTTGTCTAGGTTAGTTCACAAAGTGAAGCTCTTTCTCCAGTCTAAGATATCTGCTAACACTGAAATTGGGGTTCAAGTTTTCCTTTACTTCATGTGTGGTCCCATGCCCTTTAATCCATGTGCTGTCTGTCCTAAACTATTAAGTTTTCTGGACAGAGGCCTAAACTCTGCATCTTTGACTAGAACAGGGTTTTTTGCTTAAAATTTGACAACATATTTCTGCTTTGGGTACACAAGATTCAAGCGAGCCAAGCACAACTTGGAAGGCTAGGGTAACACTACTGCAGAGTCTTAATAATCATTTACACAGAAGTAACTATATGGCAGATGCATTTATCACTTCTGTGCTAGGACTAAGTATGTTCCCCCTTCTGTTATATCAACCTCAGTTCTGTTCTTCCATGACTGAAATGGAGCAAAGGAAAAAATGTTAACCTCCCTCTCCCCTCCTCGCCAAATGACTTGATTTTTTTTTCCGAAGTGTAAATCAATAGATTTTTTGCAAACAGCACATGAGATATGATTTGGTGGTACCCTCAGTGGAATTGATATGCTCCTACTTGAGGTCTTCTGATCATTGAAGTGCTGTGTAACAACAATCTCCCCTCAGGTGGCTTGCCAGTAACTCCCTCACCTTGGAGTACACAGACACCTACCTTCAGTCAGGCTGCATCAGTCTTTCCTGGTTCTGTGATGCCTGCTCAGCCTACAAGATTTACTCAGCCAGTTGCCTTTGGTACTTCAGCATTGCCAAGCTGGAACCAGCCTGCATCTTTTAGTCAAGCAGTTCCTCAGTCCTCTGGTCTCTGGGCACAGCCAGCACAAGTTCCATCTAGTTCATGGGTGCAACCATCCAGTGCTGTAAATCCCTTCCAGAGTAGTGTGTTCCCATCTTCAACACTACCTGCTCAGATGCCGTCTGTACTGCCCTCCGTGTCAACAACAACTAGCCCACCTCAGCCACCACCTAGAACTGCACCTCCAAAGGAGTTATGCAAGAAAGAGAGTGATGCTTTTATTGCTCTGGATCCACTTGGTGATAAAGAGATGAAGGATGTCAAGGAAATGTTCAAAGACTTCCAGTTGACAAAGCCACCTGCAGTACCAGCAAGGAGAGGAGAGCAGCAAAGTCTTTCAGGTACTCCTGGAGCTTTTAGCAGTAAAGGAGGCATTCCTCAAAATAGTATAGATCATGGTGACATAGAATTTAGCAAGCTGTCTGTCAAAATGACTGTTAAAATCTAGTGTTTTTTTTCTTCTGCTTGGATAGCTGCTCAGGGATTGGGATGGCTGATGACTAGTCTTTTCTGATAGAACTAAAAAATTTATTTAATCATTACTGAAACAGAGGCTTGAAGAACTGTCTCTCCTAATAATGTCAGTGGCCAAACACTGACACCTAGTGCCTAAACTATTTGACTGGAGACATGGAATCATAGAATGGTTTGAGTTGGAAG